ACCAGCCCTGGATAACATCTTCGAATCTCGTTGTTTGAGGAAGTTGCATAACATTCTCAGAGACTCTTCCCATCCTGCTTACAATCTTTTTGGACTGTTGCCTTCTGGCAGAAGATACAGAATAATTAAAACTCGGACCACACGTTTTCTGAATAGTTTTTATCCCAGAGCTGTAATTGCACTCAACAACGAACTAAAGGGCCACCATCAGTGAACTGTTGGACAGCATTACTTGGTCTGTTGTGTGGATGTTGGGTGGTTTTAGGGATGGGGATTGTGGTGGGGGGGGAGTGTGTTTGGGGATTATGTGTGTGGGACTTGGTTTTTGGGTGTCAAGTAAATTTCGTTGTATATGTATACTATGTACACACATACAATGACAATATAATAAACAATAACAATAATCCTCCTTGTCCTCTTGTGTTCTCTCCACAGTTGGACACAGGAAAAACCTTTCAAGCCGTCATGAGGTTTGACACCGACGTGGAGCTCACCTACTTTCATAATGGTGGCATCTTGAACTATATGATTCGCAAAATGGCATCTTAACCCCCAAACGAAGCACTGCTCATAGCCAGAAAGCCCACCTTTTTCAGAGGACAAAGGCTCAGTAATTATAAATGCTATAATTATGAAGAAAAAAAACCAAAACCAAAATATACAGTAACGAGGGAATTATGTGCGGTTTTTCCCCAGCGTAGTGCCTTCCAAGTGTATTAGGACTACAGTGTCCAGACTTTCAGGGCTGGCTGTGGCTCCTGGGGGATGTGGTCTCAGCAGAATTGAAGCAAGGGCTGGTAAAGGGTATGTTTTTACACTGTCCACCTTAACCTTTTGGCCACTAGCCTGATTTACGTGTATATTTGAACTTATCCTTTCTACGGCACTGCATCTCATCAGTCTATTTTGGACTTGTAGGTGGAACAAAAACGTTTTATCACCCATGTACGTGGAGGCTAGATCCTTTTCAACGTTTTATTACAGCATTTAACCGTACCAGTTTCCTTTTCCTATCTGCCTAAGAAGTTACTAACCCAGCACTGTTGCATTAAAAGCGCTAATCAAAATCCCTCCTTGAAATTTTTAATACTGCTAAAACGATTAAATGACTCGGCTCTTTATTCTTTGGCGTGTGTGCATTCCTTCTTGTGTGCCTTCGTTCCTGGGACCGCAGGATTAAAGCTATTTGTAACAAACCCCTTTTCAAAAACCAGGTAGAACCTTTTGTGGATTTTTACTTTGTTTTTCGGAAACCGGTTCGAGATAAAGGATAAATCTTTGCTTTATCAGGAAGGAACATGCTTTGAGGTTCTGAGCAATAAAACGTTGCAACAGCAATGGGATCCTAACAATAGATTCTAATTGATATAGTACCTTTAGTCCAGGGGTAGGCAACCTTGGCTCTTTTATGACTCGTGGACTTCAACTCCCAGAATTCCTGAGCCAGCTATGCTGGCTGAGGAATTCTGGGAGTTGAAGTCCACGAGTCATAAAAGAGCAAAGGTTGCCTACCCCTGCTTTAGTCTTAAAATCTGAAGGATGAAAACTTGGCTTTCTTAAATATCACTATTAGTGATCATTCTGATTCAACCTCACTTTAAACTTATTAGAATATTTTCAGCTATATGTCTCTGACTTTTTTTTAAATAGCCAAGTACGGCTATAATTTAAAAACTACCCCTTACTCCCAGCCTCCACAAATGACCAATGACTCTTTAAAGTTTCAAATATATACTTTTATTATTAAATTGCATAATCAAAAGACAGCGCTGGCAACAGATCAGTTTTTTTTTTTTTTTTTGAAGAAACATTGATTAATGGAAGCATGCTAAGAGTCAGACAGATGTCAAAGCTACCTTGGAGTTTAAATTTAGACCGGAGTATAACTGGAAAGTTAATGGTACCCCGGTTACCAATTTGACTTTAAAAGCAGAATTAACTAGATCGTGCAAGATTATAAACAGAAGTTTGAATAGGCAGCACTTCACTCAGACATTTCTTCAATATCGAAGTCTTTCATTGCAAAATCAACATCCTTCCATTTTGAGAAATAAATCTGCTCGTTGCTAACAACATCCTGCACGGAAAAGCTCTCAATTTTGATGATGGGCATGTTGTCAAAGGTCTTGTACTTCACAACGATTCCCCAGTCGTGATGGCAGCTGGTGCAATACATCTTGAATTTTTTGTCAAAATTCCCGTAGTTGCATGCCTTCTTATGAGGTTCTGTGATATACCGTGTTTTAAATTTCTCGCCCAAAACAGTATGGTGCGAGTCCTGAAATGAACACAGCACAGTTACATTCATTATCTGAATCACTTCGTAATTGAATTAGAAATATAAGGCTACATGCTTTTTCTGGTCAACTTAACATCATAACCTCTGGGCAGATTAAGTGCACTTTCAGTTATCAATTTCCTCAACCACAGCAGTCAAAGGAACTCCATTTATCCTCTACGTTTCTGCTTCCAACTTTTAATTCTGATATGGCAAAGCCATCAACTAAAAATATAAAGAAAGGCTTTCTTATGATGGGACGCATTCAGCTAGCTTGGCTTTTATTTAGGACTGGATAAATTCCAAACTTCACCTTGTAGTAGGAATTCAGAAAGGTATCTTTATGTAAAATTGACACAGAAAAAAAAATACGTGCGTGACTCCTTTGAGCCCATCTGGTTTGCCTTTTTAACCTTTTTTAAAATAAAGTCAAGTTTAAAAAAAAAAAAAGAATTCACCCTTAGCCCTTATAGCTGGCAGTCCTGCTCATTGAAATAAGTTTGGAAGAAGGATGGGATTGTCCAGAAATCTGCAATGCAATTTATCCCAGTTGGGGGCAAGGCCACAAGTGCTATTGTTTCTGGTCTTTTTGAGTTTTATGGAATTTGTTGGATTATGAACTCGCATGGAGATGACATGGCTTTTGAGGCCTTAAATCAGGGGTAGTCAACCTTGGCTCTTTTATGACTCGTTACTACCCCTGCCTTAAATCAAGCCTTTGACCACCCTTCCTGTTTACTGCCTACATCACAAAAGCCACAATATATGTGGAATCAATGTGTGAAACATTTAAAATTTGGGGTGGGGTGGGGTTCGGAGACTGGCTACTTTTTTGGTGGAATGGTGGAAGCCTTCAAAATGTATCCTCTCTATTGTGCATTCACAATTCAACTGAAAAATGCACCTGTCTATACGCATTTAATGTAGGCACAATTTTACCCTTGATCTTGCCATGAATCTGACCACTTCAAAGGGACTAGAAAGTTAGCGCTCCGTTTACCACACTCCACCTCTATATGTGCAACCCAAAGGCTAGGCCTCTCCCGGAATGTTCTTACAGTGAACAGAAGTACAAAGTGCTAAAATTTACCCTTAACAATTGGACAGGCCAAAGCTAATATTTATTTTCTTCACTTCTTTTAGTGCAAATGTACCCAAAACTCACGGAGCTGTATACTCAGCTGTGCAAAGCTTTAAAGGAATTGTTCAATTGAAAGGTTTAATTTAATAATCTTTTTTTTTTTAATTTAATTCTTGGGTAAATTTGAAGTTTAAAATCAAACAGATGCCTTTTATTTGCTGTGCTTCCTGCACCCTAATCCTGACACCTCTTATTATAGAGAACGCGCAGAGGAACTATTAAAAATACTGTATATAGCAATGAAAGCCTTAACACTTTCCAGCTGAAACTTTGCATCAGTCTCCTCTGAAGCTGCATTTCTTAAAATATAGTCTGAGGAGCCCTGGCAGTCCCTGAAGAACCTCTCAGGAGTCTGCAAAATCAAAATTATTTGCCAGCCTGTTGAAAAATAAATGTAATATTAAAATCCCATCAAACAATTGTTGAGAAACGGAAGTGGCAACAAATGGGTCAGTTTTAATTTTCAATACGATAAATATCAATAAATATAACCCATACAAACAAAAGGGAGGTTTTTTGGGGGGGGGTCCATAATTTTTTAAAAGCGGGAAGGGGTCCGGAGAGAAAAGAAATTAAAAAAAAAACCCACTTCTCTAAAGACTCGATCACTGTGGTGTTCATTTTATTCTGCCAAAAAATTAAGCAGATGCAGGCATATTTCTTTCCTGATTTATAGTCTACGGATAAATCTTTTTATTGATTCAAATCTTGAAACTCCAAAGCACAGATTTGGACTGACTGAATCAGGCCTTGTTCAGAACTGAACTGGAGCGGAACCGGTCTGTACCCACCAACACGTATCCCCCCCCCCCCCCCCCCCAAAAAAAGGCACTGTGAAGCTAAGACAGCAACAGGAAGTTACCTCAATCACCCGGAGATATTCCGTACTGCAGGCCAGCTTCTTGCATTTGCCACACAAGAGAACTCTATTGTTTTTCCAGGGTTTTGATTCTGTCGTTTTTTTCTTGGAATCTAGCATTTTTATTAGCTGCTTTTGAAACACGTTTATCTGGGGTGAAGAGAGAAAGATGGAATTCAAGTCACAAGGCACCAACTACTCTCAAGAGCCCAGGAATGTTGTCTTGAACCAACCTCCACCACCACGACCCATCCTGAAAATGAAATATTGACAACCAAACCTTGGCAGTAAGCAAAATTGGAAAACAGCAGCTTTGGCCGTTGTACATTTGAACAGGCTTTTGCTCATTTTAAAATGCAGGTTATTTCCCCCCCCCCCCCGCCGCCCAGGCTGAATGGGACATTAGAAAGCCCTCATTGAAAAACTGCTCACCTTCTGTGCAAAGATCTTTTCATCCCAGCTCTGTACCTCTTCAATAGCTCTGTTCATCATTAGCTCCTTTTCTAAATTGTACCTCTCCTTCTCCTCCTGTTCTTTTTTGCTCGTCACAAGAATGCACTTGCTGTCTTTTGCTCTTCCACGACCTGGAGATGGCACATTAGAGCAGGGCTTTTCAACCTTTTCACCCATTGTACCACTTTTAGGATATGGCAATATCCGAGTACCACCAGTCGCCTAGCAAGGTGTCAAAAACTTGATGACCCCCCCACAAAAAGGAAAAAAGTGATAAAGTACAGGTAGTCCTCGACTTACAACAGTTCGCTTAGTGACTGTTCGAAGTTACAATGGCACTGAAAAAAATGCCCCCCAAGCCACAGCCGAGCAAGACACCTGCCTGCCCACCCGGTGACACTCTTCCTCCTGTCTGAGGTTTTCATTGTTGTGAGAATTTCTGTTGAGGATTGGCAGTGGGGGTGGGGTGGGGGGTTGTTTGGTTTTTATTCCCCCCGTCTGCTGGGTGGTTGCAGCAGGTTTTGGTCACTTCACATGACCCTGGGACACTGTGACCGTCATAAATATGAATCAGTTGCCAAGCATCTGAATGTAAATCACAAGAGCCTGGAGATGCTGCAACATTCCAGCTGATCGGCGCTTCTTCTGGTCTCAGCAGAAGCACCAGGATCAGTGCTGAGCTCCAGCTGGAGCCTGGCGCTGATCCTGGCGCTTCCACTGAGCGCTGACAGCCCCGAAGAAGCGCCGATCAGCTGGAAAGCGGCACTGATCCTGGCGCTTCTGCTGAGCCCTGAAGCCCTGTAGCTCCAGCCATCTCTCGCTCAGGCTTGTGCGGTGCTGCCACCGGTTCAGCTCATTCCCCTCCCCCGCTACCACTTTTCTAGGATGGTCGCATACCACCTGCAAGATGCCAATGTACCACAGGTGGTACCCATACCACTGGTTGAAAAGCCCTGCATTAGAGGTAGTCTTCTTTTAGTGACCATAATAGGAACTAGCAATTCCATTGCTAAGGAAAGCAGACACTAGCTGGGAAAACACATGACCACTATTGTGCTTTCTGGCTTGAAATTGCAAAGACTTACTCCATCTCACACCTTCAGGTTTTATTTACCTCTCTAACCATTTTACTTCAGCTTTCCCCTTTTCTCCACTCCCCTGCCCTTTTCAATGCTCACCTCAGCCTGGGATAATTATCAAGAAGGGAATTAGTGTTCATGCTTACATTCATTGGAGAAGAAGGATTACAAGAGTAAGTATAATGAAAGAAGGGTGCCAGTTCTGGCAACCACAAGCATGCTAAACAAACAGTCCAGTGTACAGTATTCCCTTTGGTGTGCCAAATTACTCTCTTATAATCCCTTTCTCTCTCCACGATCAAGTCATGAATAATTGTTGCCAAGACCACTTTCTTCAAATGAAACTATAACTGGCATTACAAGAGACCCTTCTAGTCATGGCCTCTATCTATCTACCAACAATGATTACAACGTCGAGGAGGATCCTCAGCTTGCAGATCTGCTTTACAAAAAGTGTTACTCTATCCAGAATGACAACCAAAGCAGATGAGGACCAAGTGGCTTTTAGACTTCTATCTTAATGTGTTTCAATTTATTTCTTCTCACTGAACCCATTGACCCTTATAGCAAGTTTAGCCCAGCCCAGGATGGAGACGTACAACTGAATATTATTCACTTGATAAAGCGATTGAAAAGTGGGAGATGGGATGGGGAGAAGGACAAACCTTACAGTACATCCACTCATGAAAGAGCAGAGCTATTTAAAACAGCCACCCCCAAACCTTGTAGGAAGTACACAAAGACGCTGTGGTTGATGGCATTGAAAATTGCTATGTGTGAAGTTAGCAAGGTGATATATTTGTGTAACAATAGGTTTGTTTTAGATGTGATAATTATTTGGATGAGATTTGAATCTTACCTAATGGGACTGAAATGATTTTTTTTTCTTGTTTTGTTATAGAAATAGATTGACTGATAGATTATATATACAAAATAGAGTAGAGTAATATTTTTTTTATCTTAACTAGGATAACTATTTTGTAGTGGAAGAAGAAATAAGAGAGATTTGTGATAAGAGAAAAATTGGTACTAATCAATGACTTATTAGACTACGAAATAGAATATATCTGGAAATATTAGAATGTTATTGTTGGAATATTATGTGTATTTTAGAAGGGGTACCCGAAGTGCTAATAATATGTTTATTCAAGATTAAATCGGATTATGATAATTCTAAATCAGTAAAGCTTAAAAACAGGATTTGTATCTATATAGGTGTAATGTATACTGCAGTTTTACTTTTTACAATATCTTTTACCTTGCAGCCCCCCAACTAGGGGCGTTAAGCAGGCTCAAGTCGCAACTGCGAAACATTTTAAATCCAAATTTCTTTTTCTGACAAAGAGTTAAAGAATTAAATTGGGAGACTAAGATGGCCATTTCGAGCTTGTTCTGCTCTCATCAGTTAGCCATACCCTTTATTTATATATATATGACTTTGTCTTTGGATGATTTGATTACGCCATCACCACGGTGTTTCTCAAGCACTTTGATGTAAACGTTAAAAAACCAATAAAACTTGTTTTGTTTTGTTTTTTAAAAAGAAAATTGCTGAAAGGATTTAAAAGGAACAAAAGGTGCACCATCACTCACTCACTCACTGCAAATCCTTATGAAGGTTATCAGCCAAATTGGTCAAAACTGTTACAGTTCCATGCGTAGGCCTGAACATTAACTGAAAAATATCCAGGTGGTTTTTAAATGCTGGCCCCCAAACAAGGAATACAGTTAGTGCTTGATTAGCAATTACACATTCAGTGACTGTTCAAAGTTACAACAACGCTAACCTGGGAGATTTACGACATGTCTTCAAAGTTGCAACCCTTGCAGCATTTCAACGGTCATGTGATTGTGACAAGGGCACTTGGCAACCAGCGTGCAATTCTGGCAGCCACCGGATCCTACAATCCTATTATCACCATTTGCAACATTTGCTGCCTACTCTCAACAAGCAAAGTCAATGGGGAAGCTGGCAAGAAATCGTAAATCATAGTATTATTATTATTAACAATGTATGGTATGGTTACATTGGGCAGGAGATCACAATGCTACTGTAGAGCTGTAGTTTAGCTGCCAATGTACGGTACCAGCTCTGTTGTAAGACATGCTTGTTCGCTTCCTAAGGTGTGTCACAGGAGAGTGAATTGGCTTCATACCAAAAATCACAGTCAGATAACATCATGCCGAACGACTGAAACCAGATTTGCCCAAACTGCTGCTGAAAATTAGCAGAGTCATGATTTTTTGCTTTATGACATTGCTTAATGATGATGATGGTGCTCTCACTTATGCTCATTAACCGTAGTTGGATTGGAGAAGTCCAACAATGGTTCCAAGCATTACATAATATCTTCAATATCAAAAGCACCTTGTGTTTGCATAATAGACCCAAATAAAGTATGGCTTGCTGAATCACTGTGTATCTGACGGTATTTCGCACTAGGGTGGACAAGCGTGACCTTTCAGTTAATATAATTAAAACCTCTACATTCAGGTCTCACAGAATACTTTTGCCAACCTACCTCTGACTTGTATCATTTTGATGACATTGCCTATATATTCATAAAGCAGGATCAGGTTGCACTCAGCAATATCAATCCCTTCGTCAGCAACTGAAGTTGCTATTAGAAGCTTGCTGTCCCCATTGGTTTGGAAGGCATCCAAAGTCCCTTTTTGATTTGGGAGGCTCATGCCTAAGAGAGGTGAGAAACCAGAGTATCCAATCACACAAATATTGCTCTTTATCACAGGTTTGCAGAGGGTGCTCAAGAAAAAAAAATACACCATGCCAAAAGAACCTAACCTTGCCGATAGTCTCAGCACCATAAAATACAACGCATGGACAGGTGTCAAGTTCTTATTTAAGTTGCAGAGTGATACTTGAAAGCCTGGCGTAGGACAGGAGTTAATCCTCAACTCATCCCCATTTGTTTGGTGACCATCGGAAGTTACCACAGAACTGAGAAGAATGACTTAGGACTGTGGTCCTTGCACTTACAACTCTCCCAGCATCCCCACAATCAGATGAGCAAAATTCAGAGGCTTGACAACCAGCATGCATTTATGATGGTTACAGTGTCCAGGATCATGGGATGACTATTTGGGACTGTCCCAGCTGGCTTCTGACAAGCCAAATCACTGGAGAAGCTGGTTTCGCTTCACGACTGCTATGATTCGCTGATCAGCCATGTCAAAAAGAGTTGTAAAATGAGACACGACTCACTTAGCAACCACCTGGATTAGCCAATTGTGGTCATATGTTGAGGATTATCTGTTCACCACCCATCCCTAACCTATACAGTCCATCCGAGTTTCCTCACCTGTGCAATGGTTTCTTTTCCCACGTCCCATCAGTGCCTGTGGCTTCAGATGCTTAAGTTCAGGTGTTTCTTCTATCCAATTCTTCAATGCCTGTAAAATTCAGTTGTGATAATTAATAGGGATCGAAGTTTCATTCGGCAGATTGGGCTGGCGTGGTTGTGCATATAAAGACCTGCCCCTTTGTACATAATCACAGAACTTTTGGAAATATCTCTACGGTATTACATTTTAATAATAACAACAAGCACACTGCTTAACACTGGAAATTCCGTTCCCAATTTCTGTCCTAACCTGAGGACAACCGGTAACAAGAAGAGGGGGATGCCAAAATTGACCCTACTCTTTCTTATGATGCTGATGTCAACGCTACTAACGTCGGATGTTCTTGCTTTGACAACATATGGAGATGCAGCCATTTTCCTTTACTTTATGTTTTACTCTTAGAGTTAGAATTAGATGATACTGAGGGGGGAGGGGGAGGAATGTGCATGGGAGTTTAGTTAGACATAACAATACTGTATAAGGGTGAGAACTAAGGTTTTTTGAAATAAGAGATGATAAGGAATGGCGGGTTGAAGAACTGGAGGGAAAGCCGGCATTTCAAACTAATTGGAGAATGTGATTTATGACTGTTAATTAGAGGAGGGAATTGTGCTTTGATACTATGTGCTCAGGGGAGGGGAATTCAGATTGTGGCTTGGCCTATGTACATGGGGATGCTATGCTACTTGAATAAAGATTCTTTAAGGTAAACAATGCCTCGAAGAATTTCATCTGTCGGAACCATGACAGCTACCAGGTGAGCAGAAGGCCTTCAGCAGCTCACCAGCTGGTTAGAAGAGTGCATTGGGGTCCCACGCCAGAGGAAATTTCCCATCCATATCAAAGCATAGATAAGCTGATCTTAAATGTTAAGCCACACATAGCAGAAAACGGGGGGGGGGGAGAATCCCACTCCCTCCATATTGGAAGAGTTTCTTACTGCCAGCAGTGCTCTTGTCTTCACGAAGAGAATGGTACGTGTCTCAGGGTTGACATGATATATCTCTCCCAGAATCTCTGTAATATCTTCCAGTTTAGGGTTTTCATTGGATTCATCCTCGGAAGCAGCCGTGAGTTCTGGCAAATTAACTGGGAGAAAGAAAAATGCAATTATCTAAGGATGGATAAGGGACACTTTTCCTACAAAACTATAACCTAACACCATACAGATAAATAATTAACATTTTATTGTTTATATATAGGTCGGGGTAGGCAACTTTGGCTCTTTTATGACTTGTGAACTTCAACTCCCAGAATTCCTGAGCCAGCATGGCTGGCTGAGGAATTCTGGGAGTTGAAGTCCACAAGTCATAAAAGAGCCAAGGTTGCCTACCCCTGATACAGGTAGATAGCTGCATTTCTAAAAGAGTCAAAAATCAACTACAATAATTTTGCATTTCATCTTCCATCCAAGGCAGTATGGATCAGTTGTTTTTTTTTAATTCTTGGAACTAGTTTATGATAAACTTTTATCAGTTGTCTTGTTATAGAGTATCTCTTTTATTCACATGCTTCTTTCTCGCTGTCTATTTCTCTCTCCCTCCCTCCCCCACCCGGTTCCTTAGCACTGGCCTGTTCTATGTTTTGACCTAATTCTCAAGTATAATCACTTAATACCCACTTAATAATATGATTTTTAAAAGTAGTTTTTCCCATATCATGCTAGTTTTTTATCATACAGGGAACTAGCTGGTAATATATCAGCAATCAATCATATGAACCTTGACCTGAAAATGATAAAATTAGATAGATGGATGGATGGATGGATGGATGGATGGATGGATGGATGGATGGATGGATGGATGGATNGATAGATAGATAGATAGATAGATAGATAGATAGATAGATAGATAGATAGATATGTGTGTGTGAGAGAGACAGACAGAGACAGAGAGAGAGAGAGACAGACAGACAGATAATAGAGAGATGAGATAGATGATGATAGATGGATAAATGGATGAGAGAGAGACAGAAATTATATATATATATAAGAGAGGGAGAGAGAGAGAGATAAGATAAGATATAAATAGTAGACAGACAGATGAGAAAGGAATGAAGTATTACTGGAAGACAAGACAGTTATGTTATCTATTGTGTATTGCTTCTAATCTACTTTAAAAGTCAAGTTTCTCTGTTGGCATAGAAATATGTTTGGCTCATCAAAGCAACATGAATGTAGGGACATTATATATATATTTAAAGCACCTTCGAAATTTGAAGCCAGATGCTGTTCAATGTTATCAAAGTCGCCATTTTTGGCATCCTCAAAATAATCCTTCAGATAAATCAAAGCATCTTTGGTTCGGGCGTCTTCATTGATGATTAAGGCATCATTGTATTTCTGTGATAAAAAATATTATTTACCTTATTTTTATCCCATAAAAATGTCATTCTGAAAGCATGGCAGCAAGCATGCAACACTCAGGAGGGGAAGGGGAGGGGAAAACCCTTACAATCACAGGTGGTCTTCCTTTAATGGTAGCAATAGGGACTACTGGAAATAACTAAGCAACACAGTCAGGTTACAATTTACGACCTGTTCCCAATTGCCATTGTAACCCGAGGACTCCCCGTAGTGATGTGATATTTCAAACTTGAATCATTCTGAATTCAAACGACTTGCTTCAATAATCATTCACATTTGAGGCACATCCGGAAAGATCAAACGGCCTCCTTTAAACATAAAGCAATTGATTTGAACTCCAAAGGCAGCATTTCAAGTGAGAGACCCTTCCAATTCACTAGACTGGAATTGCAAGTTTTCAGCAAAGTTTTTTTTTTTTTTAAGCATTTTTAGATGCAACTGGAAAAAAAAAACCCCTACCTGACAGTAAGCAAAACAATTCAGAATGCAACACGGTCATTTTGAACAGGATGAGTTACATGTACTGTCATCTGATGCTCATTACAAACCAAGATACTCTAATACTCCGTTGACTACAGTAATGCCAAACATTAAGGAACAGGACAGGAGAAACACAGCACAAGGGCGATAGAGCAACAAGGCAAGAGAAATGGTTGCTTCCCGAGAAGAATAGCAATGTAGCACTTAAGACTTATATACTGCTTCATGGTGCTTTACAGCCCTCTGTAAGCAGTTTACAGAGCCAGCATATGGCCCCCAACAATCTGGGTCCTCATTTTACCCACCTCGGAAGGTTGGAAGGCTGAGTCAACCTTGAGCTGGTGAGAATCGAACTGCTGGCAATCGGCAATCAGCAGAATTAGCCTGCAGTACTGCACTCTAACCACTGTACCACCAGGGCTCTAAAGAAGGAAGTTACCCACCCGGAGGTGCTGCGTGCAAATAAAAAGAGCCCTGCAGACTCGGCTTTCTTCTTCCTTATTTGGCAACTGTAACACCACAGCTTTCTTCTGCACATCGACTATCCACTGCTCGTATTTCTGGGTCCCGTAACACCGATTCTTCATCACAGACATGTTATCTAATGAAAAAGGAAAGGTTTTTAAAAAATGTATTGAAGGCCTACAATGAAGAGCAGAGAGATCTCTTTATTCACGTCATAATTCAAGATGTATTGTAACATATAGCACTATGTATTGTATTGTTCTGTCAGACTAGAACAGGGGTAGGCAACCTTGGCTCTTTTATGATTCGTGGACTTCAACTCCCAGAATTCCTGAGCCAGCTTGGCTGGCTCAGGAATTCTGGGAGCTGAAGTCCACGAGTCATAAAAGAACCAAGGTTGCCTACCCCTGGGCTAGAACATATGGTCTGTATCATTGCGTGCTGGCCTTTGACAAGGCAGTGAAGACATGACTGTTAATGGCACTCTGATGTTGATTTATGCGATTTTTTTATTGGGGAATCTTGATTTTTTTCTTTTTTTTTCTTTAAACTGATAATGGTTCTTTTATCCTCCTTTGCCACCTACGCGCATTTTTTACAGAAATAATTAAATGCTGTATACATTAGATTGCACATAGAGCATTGCGCGGTATGGAGATCTTATACCATAGTGTCATTTTGAGCTTGTTTTATAATGCGTTGTTCTGTATTCTTTCATGTGGTTGTACGGTATTTTGTGGTTTGTAATATTAATATATATTGCTCTGTGTTGTTATCTGATACTGTGAATTGCTTTGCATTTGCTTTGCCCTACCACATATTCCTTTCCATTATTACTCATTTATTTCCACTCCACTGGATTATATTCCATTATGTACTGTTCTGTTGTGTACTGTCTACCATCTTACACTGTCTTGAGAAAATCTTGTCTGCTGCTCACTGGAGAACAGCATCTGCCAGAGATTCAGATGGCCCCCACCAAAGACCTGGTTGTTTTCTTAGGCGTCTGGGTGAGGTTAGGTGAGAACTGCTGTGATCAGTGTGGCTTTTTGGTGAATGGAATTGTTCATCTTTGGGTAGCAAGAGTTGTAGTTGTGTGTTTGTAATTCTTGTATGCCTCTTGGAATTACCTGTGTCAGAGGGTGGCCACATAAATCACATAAATAAGTAAAATAAAGACTGCATTGTCCACAGTGTATGATAGTCTAAATTGGATGGAAATATAAACATGATAGATTAAGAGATAGAGAGATAACACAGAGATGAGAGAGAGAGAGAGAGAGAGAGCAGATAGATAGATAGATAGATAGATAGATAGATAGATAGATAGATAGATAGATAGATAGATAGATAGATAGATAGATAGATAGATAGATAGATAAGGTACAGATATAGATACGATAGATGATATAGATATGATAGATAAAATAGATATGATAAATAGATATAAGTAGATAGATAATGATAGATATGATAAATAGATGAAATGATAGATGATAAATGATTATTTATCATTTATTTATATCTATCTATTTGATAGATAAAATAGATATAATAGATGATATAGATATGATAAGTAGATATAGATATGATAGATATGATAGATGATAGATATGCTTATCTATCATTTATATCTATCATCTATTAGATAGATATGATAAATAAACAAAACGATAGATATGATATGATAGATAGGTAGGTAGGTAGGTAGGTAGGTAGGTAGGTAGATAGATAGATAGATAGATAGATAGATAGATAGATAGATAGATAGATAGATAGATAGATAGATAATAGAGAGAGAGAGAGAATATGTGCTTTGAGTTCTCTTTAGAATTATGGTGCAATATGTGACATTATATCTTGTGTTAGGTAAGTTTGTTTTGCTTAGTAGTATGTTGTATGTACTATGTTTAATATACTGAGCTGTAATGTGAATTGTACAGCATAGCAATACCAATAAGACATACCGCTTCACAGTGCTTTACAGCCCTCTCTAAGTGGTTTATAGAGTCAGCATATTGCCCCCAACAATCTGTGTCCTCTCATTTTACCGACCTCGGAAGAATGGAAGGCCTGCCATATTGCGTCTAGCCACTGCTCCGCGATGGCTCGTAATGTGAATTGTACAACATAGTGCATTTTAATATGCAGTTTATACTATTTTGAAATGAAAATTCAGCTGTATTATGCATTATGGATTATGTTATGAATACAAACTCTATTATGAAGCTATATATTACAGTGAACTGGATTACAATTTTTGTGATGAATGGTGTGACTGTACTACATAATGATTAACGTATCTATGTAATGTTTGTGTGTGTGTATCTATATGTCCATGGATATATCACATCTTGATGCTTTTGTTCAGATCACAGGAAAGTGATGATTATGTTACGTCAATGGAGCATATAACCGACATCATCAAGCAATCTCCATCATCTTACCAATAGGATGAAATTGTCTTGCTAGATCCTCTGCTTTTGACATCATCTGAGATACAATATCTACAAAGCGATTTTGTGGACGAGTCCCAACAAGCTTAATAACTGCAGTAAAAGTAAAAAAGAAACTGCCATCATTAGTTTGTTATTAGCTGCACATTTAAATATTCTAAAACTATTACAGGCCCTTTGTCCAAGAAAAGATTAAGTGTTTTAGAACTTGGGGAAATAATTTATTATGCTATCTTTTTTCAACATTTGCCTTTCAGAGATACGGCTATAGTACCAGTATACCAGTCATCAAGTATACAAAAACAAAATCCAGTTGCCTTTTGAAAAAGCACCTTTGGGACAACCATGACTTGGATGACTGAGAAATCTCCATAGATAAATAAAGGAAGGTGTCAAAGTAGCTTGGCATAATCTCTACCGCAAGGGAAGGATACAGTTTTATCATTGTGGAATTCCTGGAAAAGTCATCTGGGTCCATCAGATCGAGGTCCCATTGGAGAAACCCCTTCAAGCCTAGAGTTACACAAGGTGTATTGTGTTTGAAATATGTCCATGCGCAATTTATGTTTAAGAATTTTTCTTCTGGTACAGCATGACTCTCTTCCACTGGGATTTTAACTGCTCAGAATCGCTGACAATTTGAGGGCTATAAAAATGGTTTGAGCTGAAAATATCCCCTCACAAGTCAAAAAAAGTCCCTGGGGTTCAAACAAACTGTTCAAATTTCACCAGAAACATTGTCACACTGTCCTATTCTAAAAGTGTTCTTCATTCAGCCTAGGACTGGCTGGAACATTTCAAAATTGGGATAATCTTCTAGTCTAAACTCAAAACAAGGCACTTTGAACTTGAAACAGTCTTCTCAGCCCAAAATGTTTCAAATGTGACATGTTCTGCATACTTTTAGAAACCTCCCCACTTTGAAATTCCTGAAGGAACCTGAAATTTGGCAGGATCCACCACAGGAGTATATCAGGAATGCCATCTCAATTGATGGCTAAATTAATCCATTGTTATGCATCTATTCAAGAAGAAACATGCATTTAGGGAAAAGTCCCTACCTAGCAACAGGAATTAGTTTAGTTACAGAGCATCATCTGACAAGTGGAGAAAGCTTTCAGTCTTTCCAGACCTTTGCTAGATAAGTATTGAGTTCAGCTGTGTCCCAACTTCTAGCCCAGGGATGTTTAATGGAAATGCCAAACAGGATCTATATATAATATGACTACCAAGACTTTTAAACTATTATATAGTACAGAGTTCCCCAACTTTTCCAGCTTTGCAGACTGGCATGGGGAGGGGAGGGGAGGGGTTCTGTGTTGAGTGGCCGGCAAGCACATGCATGCAGCTCCATTTACACAAATGGTGGGCATGCACACCCGCTACTCATGTAAATGGAGCATGCGCTCAGCCACTTTTGTGGCCCGGTTCCGAATGGCTCAAGGTCCGGTAGGGGACTTCAGCCTGGGGGTTGGGGCCTAGGGGTTGGGGCCCTCTGATATAGGACATCAACTATGGGTCTTCAGAATGGGTTATCAGATTATGGGTTTATCTCGCTGAGAGATGGGTTCTACGGCAGTTCATCCCCAGTATCAAGTCTCAACAGAACTATTAAATGAAAAGTGTCCGGAAAGCAATCCAATCTGAACTGGATTTCATAGGCATTCCCCACACCTATTTGCAGCAGAGAGAAATGTGAGACACATACAGTTGTGCAATATTAATGTATTTCCTTCATTGCCCCAAAAAAGTATAAATTGCTGAGGAATAAGATTAATGTGCATGACTGCTTGTGGGTTTTCTTGGAGACATCCATTTAGTCACTATGAGAACAAATGCAGGCCCATCCCTGCCTACTCCTATTTAAGTATATTGCCTCTTCATTTGGAAGGGTGGAGGCATTGGAGGAGGCAACATGATATCCAACATAACTGCATTGTAAGGGATTTCAAGGTTAGAACTAGTCACGACAGGTTGTTGAATGACTATTCAAAGTTATGAAGATCTCGAAAGGGTGCTTAATGACCAACAAACACCTCCAACCCTTATAAATTTGTATACCTCTCCCATGGTCATATTATCTTGATTTGGGTGCTTGGCAACCTGTCGACACTGGATGGCCAGTTGTTAAGCTCCTTGCAATTATGTGATTGCCATTTGCAATCTTTTCTGCTGGCTTCCCCAGAAAGTCAGTGGGAAAGCTGGCAGAGAAGATTGCAAGCTGAGAGGACTCCCTCTCATCTCTGGGAGCTGGCTACATGCTGGGGTGATAATCTCAGCTCTACCCCATCAAGATGAGATTTCCAGCCTGCAAAGAATTGCCCCTCTCTTCTGTTTTTTTGGGGGGGGGGCAGAAAAGGAGCTAAAATTATCAAGGTTTTGAGATAATCAGGATTTTAGCTCTGTTTCCGCAACCTGAAGGGTTCCCCCCTCCATTAGATCTCCTTACCTTTGACCTGGGATATCACTTAACGACTGCAACCAGGGGGGTCTGGGTTTACAATCACTGACTGAGGTAATTGTGTGGTTGTCTCACTTAATGAGCCTTTTGCTTAACGACTGAGATTCCAGTCCCAAGTATGGTCATTAAACTTAAGAACTATATGGACTCTTTTTTTTTTTTTTTTAAAGGATTACTTGTACTCCAAAAGAGAGAATTAGAATGCAGGCTCACTTTTTTCAGGTTTAGGAACAATTTCTTCCAAGTCCTTTATGTTCTTTCTGACCGTTGAGATCACTTCAATATTGAGGGAAGCACAAATGTTGCAGATGTAGTCTATGGCCTCCCCTACGTTTTTGGCATTGCCAATGCCAGGAGAAGCGGTCAATCCTACAATCTGAATAATTAAAATACATTCACTTCATACTAGAAGGACCACACATGAATTAAGACACTAAAACATGAAAAGAAAGAACAAGAAAGAGAGAGAGAGAGAAAGAGAGGCAATGTTGCCTCCAGAATTATTTTCATTCGCCGCGTGCACCTTTTCCTGGCAGAGATCGATTGAAATCAGGAGATGAATGACCTCTTAGCCTTATTCAAAGAAATACACACTAGTAGTATTAAATGATTATAATTTAAACTAATACCTTAGATTCTTTACGTAAAAATACCCCATCGCGGTATTTAGAAATCTTGTTTATCATTAACCACCATTCCAAATCAACCAGTGGAATAGTCTGCCTCCATAAGTTGTGGCTGCTCCATCACTGGAGGCTTTCAAAAAGAGAGTGGACAATCACTTATCTGAAATGGTTTAGGGCAGGGATCTCTAACCTTGGCAACTTTAAGACTTGTGGACTTCAACTCCCAGAATTCCTCAGCCAGCTTTGGTGGCTGAGGAATTCTGGGAGTTGAAGTCCACAAGTCTTAAAGTTGCCAAGGTTTAGGACCCATGGTATAGGGTCTCCTGCTCGAGCAGAGAGTTGGACCAAGACCTCCAAGGTCCCTTCTAACTCTGTTACTCTATGTTCTAATTATTACTGTCAGTTGTTTGAAATAGGCCAGGTCAATACAGAGGAATGGCTGGGATTTCAAGAACGCTCTTTATTGTTGTTGAGGTATTGTACAGAATCTTGAAAGCCTACCGGATTTTCTCTCTACTACTGTTACTTTATCCAGGAGAATCAAGGTGGGTTGTTTTGAGTTTCTTTCCCGCACTTTCTCTTTTCCCAGGAATATTTTTTTCCTGAAACTCTTCCCTTAACAATTTGTTTCTCCCCTCGCCATTCCCAGCATCCAATCTACATGTCATTGCATTTATTTTCATTTATTTAAGAGGGGAATACATTTCTTGGATAAATTGCGAAACACTGCTAGACGCTAACGGTGGATGAGATCATCCGTTTCTCATCAGAAATTATCAGACTTTTATCCACACAGCCATCCGGAGTCAGGTACAATTCAAAGGTGTGTATCAGCCATATTTCTACGTCTTATTCAAGGGGTGGACAATTAGTCCTCCAGATGTTGCCAAATTACAACTTCCAGCATCTTTGATCATTAAGTTATGGAATTAAAGTTCAGCAATAATTTTGAAGCAATTGAACTTGCTCAGCCTTATAGCTTATCATTTGCTTAATATTTTGTTGCTATTTCCTGTTCTAACAAGTATGTCAGCAATATGTTTTAGAAAATAAGGTCTAGACCTGCTCAAATCTTAGAAGTAGAATAATGAACAAATCAATCATTAAGAACACATTTTGAATGCTAAGTTCTGCTCTGAGTTTATTCATTGTGTTTATGATGCTGAAATGAAACTATTGTTGTAGTTTATTCCTAAAAGGTTCCTCATATAAAATAACTTAAGCACAATTGTGCTGGGCACTACAATGTGCATTACTTATTGAACATATAATTACTTTCTTTTTGTTTATGGGTTAAAATTCATCAAAATCAGATTTTTTTTTCAAACTGAAGCTGAAATGATTATATTATTTAAGAATAGAATGGGAGACAAAGTGGATCCCTGCTACAATATTGTTGCACTAAATGGCTCCTGGAGTACAGGTGTGCATGCTATCTTCTTGAGAGGTACAACATTTTCTATGTTGTCTTCATGTATTAGAAGAGAATACACAACTTGCTGAGATATATTTTTTTACCACGAGAAAGCTACTTACCTGAGGTAGCGGAACTGCATCTTGCTTCAGTTTAAGGTTCAAGTACTTGGACATTAACATATTATATGGATTACTCCCCGTAGTGTTGTGGCACTCATCGAATATCATCAATGTGAATATTGAAAGAGAAAGAACTGTCTCATTAGTCAGAGAGTTCAAAAGAGTCTGGGGTGTCATGACAATGATATCATTCTGTTTAATAACTATTTCTGCGGGAGACTTGGAAGCATTTTCCCCACAGATGCCTGCAATGTTGTAGCTGCAAGAAAAGAGACAAGATACTTCTTAGAACACCATCAATCCCTGTTTAAGCGTTTGATCGAAAACGGCAAAATTAGGAAACAGTTATACAGGTAGTCCTCGACTTAATGACCACAACAAAATTGCAGTTGTTAAGTGAATTTTGTCCCATTTTACAACCTTCCTTGCCACAGTTCTTAAGTGAATCGTTAAGTTAGTAACTTGGTTGTTAAGTGAATCTGGTTTCCCCAATGACTTGGAGTGTCAGAAGGTTGCAAAAGGTGATCACATGACCCCAGGATGCTGCAATCATCATAAATATAAACCAGTTGCCAAGGGTCTGTATTCTGATCACATGACCCTAGGGATGCTTGCTTGTAAGTGTTAAAAATGATCATAAATCCCTTTTTCCAGTGCCGTTGTAACTTTGAACGGTCATTAAGTGAACTGTTGTAAATTGAGAATTACCTGTATAAACAGAGATCATCCATTTACCTAACACTCACATGCACAAACACACATAGATACTCATGAACTGGTCATATCTGACGGCCTACTTTTTAAAATCACAACATAGGTGCTCATCACAGGTACAACTTCATACTTTACACCAGACATGTCAAACAAAAGGCCACGGGGCTGGATGCGGCCCGCAAAGTGATTTCATGTGGCCCACGAAGTCATCCTGGAAACAGTGAGGGAACGGCCCCCGCTGTCTTAGCCCTGGCCCAGGCCGGCCGGGAGCCAATGTACAATTTTGTGGTGGCCATCTATGCTGAAACGCATTCAGTCTTAGCTCCACAAGGCCGTCTAGAAACAGTGAGGAACCAGCCCCTGCTGTGTCGGCCCCGCCTCCTGGGTGCATGCTGGGGAGGTGTCACCCTTTGTGAGGAATGAAGAAATGCACCATGCCTTGGTGCTTGCCCCGGTCCCACCCCCTTCTGCCAGAGACCCTCAGATCTGTCCCACTCCTGCCCAGGCCCTGACAGGCACCCTTGACACGAACAATGTAGAGCTGGCCATGCCCACCCAGTAGGCCACACCCACTCCATCCACACCCACCCAGTAGGCCGCACTCACCTGCCCCCCCCTCCGAGGGCAACCGCAATGCTGATGCGGCCCTCAATGAAATTGAGTTTGACACTCCTGCTTTACACATTGCAAAGCAAACCGGCTGTTCCAGACACCCATTTTGAAAATATTTTCAGCAGCCTTGAGATACGGCAGACCATCTTTCTGTAGAGCAACAATCTAAATCAAGGGCTGAAAAAGACGCTATTGCTATTATTTTAGAACCAGGAAGTAACAGGACATCCGCATAGGACGGACTGAGGTCATACTCATTTTTGAAGTATTCACAGAAGACTTTCTTCTGTTGTTCATAAACTGGAACTTTTGTAGCGAGGAAGACCACTTTTCCGTTCTGCCCAGCAGGCCTGTTGCGGAGATGATGCTCACATATCATAATAGACACAAGAGTCTTCCCAGATCCTATAAAAATGAATAAAGGCTGGTTGGACTTACTTGGAAGCAATGGACTAAAATTCTGAACTACAAGCTGGCAAGGCCATACAGATGGTCCTCTCACTTAAGAGTCCACAGTTGGGACTGGAAATTCCAGCACTGAACGTTGCGGTTGCTAAATGGAAAAATCTCTGACCACAACAGGCTTATGACTTTACTTTCCCTTCAGTATTTAATCATTGCAGTTGTTAAACAAACCATCGTATCATTACGACTTATGATTTTACTTGGCTTGTTGCAAGCCAGTTGAGAAACACACAATTAGTGATCACATGTCTGTGGGACTAGTGTGATGGTTGTAAATGGTCACAAAGCTTTTTTTTTTTTTAATGTCATTGTACTTTCATTGTACTTTGCTAAACAAGGCAGCGGGTTTCTTCTGTTTCCCTCAGAAAAAAATTATAGCCTTTCTTTAAAAAAGTCTAAAATAATTTTCCATTCCAATCAGAAAGAAACTTAGGATCATTGTAGCTCAGAGAACTATAATCTTACCGGTAGGGGCACAAATCATGGTGTGTTTGCCCTTGAGAGCAGGCTCAGCAAGTTCTATCTGATAGCTCCTTGGCTTCCTCGGAACATATCTGGGCTGCTGGAAGGCATCTAGAAGAAGAACAAGTGAACAAAAAGCACACTGGAAAAAACTGTAACATATATAAAATACAACATATTTACATGGCATGCACAACAGAATATCTACTATCCAAAATCATTATGTGGACACTAAAAGAAACATGTTCATTTAAGGGCAGGGGTGTCAAACTCAATTTCATTGAGGGCCACATCAGCATTGCGGTTGCCCTCGGGCGGAAGGGCAGGTGGGTGCGGCCTACTGGGTGGACGTGGATGGAGTGGGTGTGGCCTACTGGGTGGGCATGGCCAGCTCTACATCGTTCGCGTCAAGGGTGCCTGCGGGGGCCTGGGCAGGAGTGGGACAGATCTGAGGGTCTCTGACAGAAGGGGTGGGACCGAGGCAAGCGCCAAGGCATGGTGCATTTCTTCATTCCTCACAAAGGGTGACACCTCCCCAGCATGCATCCAGGGGGCGGGGGCGACGCAGCAGGGGCTGGTTCCTCGCTGTTTCTGGATGGCTTTGTGGAGCTAAGACTGAATGCATTTCAGCATAAATGGCCACCACCACAAAATTGTACATTGACTCCCGGCCGGCCTGGGCCAGGGCCAAGGCAGCGGGGGCCGTTCCCTCACTGTTTCCAGGATGGCTTTGCGGGCCACATGAAACCACTTCGCGGGCCGCATCCGGACCCCGGGCCTTGTGTTTGACATGTCTGATTTAGGGGAAGAGAAGCCATATGGCGTTACTTTAATTGGAACATACCCGCATACCAAAACAGTATGCCAATGATACTCAATTATATCTCTCTGCCCCTGGTGAATTAAGCAGTGTTGCTTAATGTCCCTCCTGTCTGAGTGTCAGGAGGCTGTGGGAGGTCTGGATGGGGAACAAGCAGCTTTAACGAACTGACTGGTTTTAGGTTTTAGGGCCTTCCAAATGTGGGACTTCACCAACTTTGGTACTGGATGGGGTGGGCCTTGCCCCTAAAAGACCTCTTGTACAATCTGTCGGTCCTTCTGCTCAAGGAACAGGTGGCAGTCAGGAGGCCTTTTGCACAATTTCACATCGTGCACCAGTTGCAAATCGAAATAAGAACTTTGAAAACAGGATCTATGACGAGGTAATTAAGATGATCAATTGGAAAAGAAGCTTTATACTGATGTGGTTGTTAAATATCAGAAAAATGTTTATGTTCAATTGGTGTCTATCAGAATATTAAGAAATGTACTAATTCAAGGTTGGTAAAAGAGAATACTACTGGAAGAAGAGAAAATCAAATAAAGCTATTATGTGGGTTATAGAAATCATTATTGTTTTTAAATATAAAACCAGGGAACACGCTGTTTACCAAATATTAAGGTAACTATGTTAAAAATCAATAAAATATATTTTAAAAAGGATAGGTGTCCAAATTGATCTTGGTTTTGTTTGTATTTCTTTTTTCTTTTTGTTGTTAATTTAGACCAGCACAAAACTGATTAAAAGCAAATAACCATACATGTTAAAGTTGAAAACCTTTGCACGCGTGTGTCTTTTTGTACAATGATGTGCGAAAATGTTTATAGACTGGGTGACTTAGTTTAAACATGATGGTTAGATCCTGAAGCAATTCTACATAAAAGTTTGCAGTCCTTTTTGTCTGATTCAAGGAGCAAAAACTGCACTTATGCCTCACATTCAACTGTCAAACAATAACATTTTCAAAACAAGAAAATATCCTGCAAGCTTTCCAATATAGGCCTTTAACAGATACTTCACAGAGAAATGCTGAGGTGAAAATAGAATTTGTGCTAGGTACACTAGTCCTCTTAAAAGAACTATGGGTTCTTCAACCATGATTGTGTTCAAGCTCTTTCAGGACACTAGGCCAGTGGCTGGCAGTTCAAACTGCACAAAAGATAAATGTAATTCATTTAAAAAATAAATGAGTGTTCCTTTGATATTTAATCAATGTCTGTCTTTAGTCACATTAGAAAACCTAATATTCAACCACAAGGGGCTGTAGGGACAACATCGAAGTTTTTCAAGAAATATAAGTACCACAAGCACCACTATGGGAAGCTGGACATACTCCCCTGCCGTAAATAAGACAGTGACAGATAACTTCTGGTAGTACAGATCCTTTCCTTGAGAAGCCACTAAAGGTTTGCTAGAAGAATTTAGAGAATTGAGCCCAAGGCAGTTTTCCAATTGTCTTACCTGAAGGTGAACATGAATTTTCACAAAGATTGTCAGATTCTGCTTCTTCAGAAATCTGTATTTCAAAAACACAGCTGTCTTCATCTTCATCTGCCATTTCAACATCTGCATTATCAGCTGAATATGATACAAAAAAAGTCCGTTCAATTTTTGCATTTTCATTAATATTTTGCTTGGCACATCTACGGTAAAAGTACTCTTCAGATAGGTGAAAGATAATGTGAATAGGAAAGAATATATTGTCGTATTGGAATATACTGAATATCAACTCAATGTTTTTATAATAAATTCATATTCTGCATGTTGTTGGGAATGCAATATATGTTCTAATGAATGCAGGAACACTGCAAGTTGCCATTCTTAAACAATGTGGAAGCTCCTGCTTGAATAGTCTTGCTTAAGTGACAAAATTTCTACATTCTTCTTTATTTGTTTATAGATTCATTGCATTTCTACCCCACCCATTTCACTAAATGACACTAGTTGAGAGGTTGGAGAGGAAGGGATTTCAAGAGAGTACTGTAAGCTATTTGTGTAATACACCGGTGGCTTCCAGCATGATTTCATTGTTTTCCATGTATGTAAGACAGTAAACAAGTACTCTGAGCATCCCAAAGAGTAGGGGAATAGTTAAGAAGCAAACAAAAGCCAAAGGTGTGAAACTGAGTCTTTTAACCAGAAATTACAGTTGCAATCATGTGATTTTCCACTCAGTGACTGCTCCGCTTAGTGGCAGAATTGCAGGTCCCAATTAGATTTTTTTTTAAATGAGGACTACCTGTAACAGCGTATCAGTGGATGTCTTGCCAATTTTAAGGCACATGCAAGTTAAAACCTAAGATGTTTTCATCACCTGATTATGACCATCACTACACACACCCCCACTGACACTCCATTTGGTGACTCTGCCTCTCATAACTTTCTCTATTCTGGAAGTCTTCCAAGAGAAAGAAAGAAACTGAATGGAGAGTAAAACAAAGATATGACAATACCTCCTTTCAAATCCCATAGCTCGATTTGCTTGTCGTGTCCAGACCTATGCAGTGCGATTTGGAAGGTTTTAGGCCAATGTTCTTTGTCTGATCTACACAGACATTCTATCAGTTTGCTTGCACTTGCTTGTCTTCCTTTCCTTTCACTAATCTGCAAATCAGAAACATGAGGCAGAGCAGAGTACTTATTTATTGTGTTTCTATACTCAAGACTCAAAAGATTCACTTCCACTCTTTATCGACTTTTCGCATAAAGCAAAAAAAAATGCGTAATTTGTAGTTATAATTTGTAGTTTTGAAGATAAGGGAAAAACTGAATAGAAAAGAGTGAGTTTTCTTTTGTAATCATAGGGCAGGAGGTAATTTTGTAATTATTATTTCCTTTGTAATTATTTGTTGCAAAGGAAATCGGAAGCTTCTTTTTTTTATTTCATTTGATCCTTTCTTTCTGCACCTTTGCTTTTCACTTTCTTCTTCCTTGCTCTCATTCTTTATTACAGCCATGCTGGCGCAGTGGTTAGAATGCAGTATTGCAGGCTGACTCTGCCAACTGCCAGCAGTTCGATCTTGACTAACTCAAAGTTGATTCAGCCTTCCATCCTTCTGAGGTCCGTAACACAAGGACCCAGATTGTTGGGGGCAATATGCTAACTCTGTAAACCACTTCAAAAAGGCTGCAAAGCACTATGAAGCGGTATATAAGTCTAAGTGCTATTGCTATTAATTTCAGTTAGTTTTTATATTCTTTGTAAAACTTTCAGTAAAATTTTATGAAAATAATATCAGGAGATACACACCCAACTACAAGTAACTAAACTCAAAAAAACCACCAACAATCTGAGCAAAATTTACAAACCTTCTCTCCCACAGTAGCACTAAGAGAATATACAATAAAAAACAAACCCAATTTTAAAATTCACCATTTATTTCCTTTCTTTTTTCATGCACGTTAATTCTCTTGCTTACCAACCTGTAACCTGGATCACATCAGAATCTTCTCAAATATTTAGAGAAATGAATCAAACTGGTTAAGAGTTGATAAAGGGTTTTATTTTTGCTCTCTGATCAAGCTGAATTAGCACACTGTTCAAAATGAAAGTCAGGGCTGTCTTCTAAAACAAGGCTTTTCAACCAGTGGTACGGGTACCATCTGTGGCACATTGGCACCTGGCAGGTGGTGCGCGACCATCCTAGAAAAATGGTAGCAGGGGAGGGGAATGAGCTGAAACGGTGGCAGCACCGCACAAGCCTGAGCGAGAGATGGCTGGAGCTGCAGGGCTGTCAGGGCTCAGTGGAAGTGCCAGGATCAGCGCCAAGATCCAGCTGGAGCTTGGCGCTGATCCTGGCGCTTCTGCTGAGCCCAGAAAAAGCGCCGATCAGTTGGAATGTTGCAGCATCTCCAGGCTCTTGTGATTTACATTCAGATGCTTGGCAACTGATTCATATTTATGACGGTCACAGTGTCCCAGGGTCATGTGAAGTGACCAAAACCTGCTGCAACCACGCAGCAGACGGGGGGAATAAAAACCAAACACTCCCCCCACCCCACCCCCATTGCCAATCCTCAACAGAAATGCTCACAACAATGAAAGCCTTGGACAGGAGGAAGAGCGCTACCGGGTGGGCAGGCAAGTGTCTTGCTTGGCCCTTTTTTCATTGCCATTGTAACTTCAAACAGTCACTAAGCTAACTGTTGTAAGTCAAGGACTACCAGTACTTCATCACTTCCCCCCCCTTTTTGGGGGGGTCATCAAGTTTTTGACACCTTGCTAGGCGACTGTGGTACTCGGATATTGCCATATCCTAAAAGTGGTACAATGGGTGAAAAGGTTGAAAAGCCCTGTTCTAAAACAATGTGGGCCACCTGAGCGGATGGCAAGTTTAAATAAATAATACCTTATGAATCTCTTCCCATTCCTGAATTCGGAGGCAGTCATCCATGAACTCTTGAATTTGTTTGACATCAATGTCCTGCATAGCGGGCCCAATTCGTTTCAACAGTTGCCTGTGAGGTTCCAGACTTTCAATTATCTTGAAATCCCACTTGTCAATTGCATCATGAAGGCCGGTATAATCTTAAGAAGCAGAACAGAAGATACAAACTGGAATTAAAGTGGTAATTGACTAAAGTCGATTATCAGCAACAGATGGTTTATCTGATGCCTTTTTAAGTTAGCTTCAGCCCACTCCAAAATGTGGAATGTGAACATGTTGAGAATCCCTACCAATCAATTCCCCTATGAGACTTGGAGAGCTTTTAAAGAGCCTTTCCTCCTCCCCCCTCCCAAACACTTGGGGGCTGAAGGAGGGATATAACCTACAGCAGTGGTGGCGAACCTATGGCACGGGTGCCAGAGGCGGCACTCGGAGTCCTGTGGGCACACGTGCCGTTGCCCCAGCCTTGCCTCCCCCCGCGACCCCCTCTCCAGCAGCCCCCCTGAAGGAGAGTCACCCTTGAGCGTGGCCCACATGGAGCAGCGCAGCCAAGGACATGGCAGCCAGGCAGCGTAGACAAGACTCTGCCCTCACAGCCCATCATGCAGTTGATGCTGCAGGGCGTGGGCAGAGAGTGCAGCCATCGTAGCGCTGCTGGGCTGCCTGGGCGATCTGCGGCAGGCCCTGGTGGCGGTGAGTGGTCCTGTGGGCAGGGGGGGCGGGGGCTGGGGGGGCAGAGTGGGGGCAGGGCAGGGGGGGTGGAGCAAGGGCGGGGCCAGAAACAGCATTGAGCTCACATTAATAAACTAATAACACACAACACAGAGAAAACAGTTGTGTCTGGTTAGAACAGCTAGGTGAACGGCAGTTTGTTTTTTAAAAATTAAGATCTCTTTTAGCACTTAGGACAGAATGAGTAAAGGCTTCCTGCAACCTGAAGCAACCGCAGAGTCCTGTCAACAGAAACAACGCTGCCTGAAAGTAAGCACAAACCGCAGATCCTGGGGGGGTGCTGAGCCCCGGGGACAATTGTATCGTTCCCCAAAACTCACGGTGGCACTAGGGCTGAAGTTGAGGCCTGGGCCTCTGCTTCAGGCCTAACCTTGGAGGAATGGAATAACTCGCTGTGGCCAGCTCACTGTGGTCAACTCAGCACGGCCAACTTACCGTGGGGCAATTCAATCATTCAGTTATTTAAAATAATTTTAAAAATATTTTAAATTTTGTCATTCACATTTCATTTTGTCCCTCCTTTGGCATCCTTTATTTAATGACTCTATTCCATCATTTCAATATTAGTTTAACTCTTGTCCTGCAGTGAGTTGGCTGCGTTCAGTTGGCCACAGCAAGCTGGTCAAAGCAAGATGCCTATGTCAAGTTGGCCATGGTGAATTGGCCACAGTGACTTATCCTAGACCCCAGCTTTGGTGATGCCACAGAGTGCCACTGTTCAAGATGGTCTAAATGGAGGGGGGAGAGGAGAGAAAATTGTTTCTCTTTTGTTCAGAGTAGCCAGCAGAGTCAAGTTAGGCATTTTCTGAAATTTTTCGACACGCCAAGCCCAAAAGGTTCACCATCACTGATCTAGCATATGCTCCATTCGGCATGTCAAATGATCAGAAAATTAAGTCCTGTGCAGAAATAGCACCTGGATGGCTTCTCTTAACATATGGAGGGAAAGCACTAATTAAAGACCTGGGCAGGAATTGGTAAGGAAATTTAGCAACCTTAAAGCTTCTGATCCCCGTCACTTGCATGGGATTGCAAAGAAGTTAGTGGCTCTGTTTCTGGAGAGGTATTTTCGATAGCGAAACTAGTGGTGGACCTTTGTTTTGCCGGAATGCAGTCTGAATTCTTTGAGGCAGGACTAGTCTCTGGGGAAAATACACCAAGTGATTTTTCTGAGATGTCAAAAAAATTGCGGAGGGGAAGCATGTTACTCTCCAAACACAAGAAATCTCAAAACACACTGCAGCCCACGGAGCGTCCTTTTTCACGAAACTCTGTCCAAGCTCTTTATCTCTGGAAGAACTGGGGAGATTTTCTCCCACAGCGGAGAGCACAAAAGTTAAGCAACCCTTTCACACAATGTTCCTGATTGGAGGTATTTCCTAAGTTCCATAATCAGTATTTGCTTTTTTGATCCTACAGCTATTCTCTTCTCTTCTCTGAGCTACAGAAAAGAATGGCTTTTCCCCTGAGCAAAGGAAATTCTCTTCCTTCCTGATAACTATATGTTCCCCAAAATCATTTTAACAGCATCTCCCCGCCCAAAATTATCCCTACTAATTTCACTGTCACAATGATGGTTTGTTTAAAGCTAGTAGAACAAATGCACTATCCCTCCAGTAGGGTAGTGTGTCTACTTTATTAATTTAAATCACATCTATTTGGTAATTTTTATCATAAAAAATGAAGAAAAGCCCACTTCCTAATTCCATCTTTTATTTCTGGCAAACTTACTGGAACAGAGACTCTCAGATCTGAGGTTGAAGGAATCAATCAGCTCATTTGCAGAGGCTTTTGGAAGAAGCCATCTTTCAAACAGGACATTTACATGTCAACTGATAATGTGTTTCCTTGTCTTGTAATTGAATTGCATCCAGTATATATATACTTTCAATGTCTAATACTCTGAACCAGACATATGAAACAGAAGGCCCGCGGGCCACATCCGGCCCGCCATGTGGTTCCATCTGGCCCGGGGACCTGCTCTGGAAACAGTCAAGGACCGGCCCACGGGACTTGGCCCAGCCTGACCAGGTGCTGATCTACAACTTGGTGCCAGCCATCAAAGCCAGAACGTGCTCAGCCTTAGATCCATAGGGCAGCCTGAAACCAGTGATGGGCGCCCCCGCCCTGCCCCCTGGGCGCACACGCAAGAGGCGGCAAGAAGGCGGAGTCCGGCGTCCCTGCTGGCTGTCTAGCCCCACAGGCTGACTTCACCCAGGATGCTGGCGCTGGCCGTCTCCTGTGCGCATATCCGTGAGGCAGAGGCAGCAAAGGGGCCCCTCGCTGGTTCCAGGGCTGCCCCATGGATCTAAGGCTGAGCGCATTCTGGCTTTGATGGATGCAACCAGGTTGTAGATCAGTGCCACCCCCCTCCCACCAGCACCTCCACGGCCCGCTCGCTGACCTAGCCTCGCAGCCATGAGGCTTTCCTTTCACTGGGACACGCCCTGCCCACGTGGGATAGCAATGGCTGGCGGCAGCATGGACATCGGCAGTGCGGAAGGAAGGAAGGGCGGGCAACTTACTTGGAGATGCCCCAGTTCACGCAGTTCTGCTTCAATCCTGGATCCATTTAGACTTGGGCTCAAAGGAGAAAGCAATTCTGTGTGTTCTTTTGTCACAGACAGGACTTTATTGGCAATCCAAGTTAACATTGGTATTCTTGAATTGTGAACTCTTAGGAAAGTATCCCCTCCTTGTGTGTTGCAAACAGCCATTTCCAGTGGGGAAAACAGGACAAAGCAGATTGGGGGAAAATATTTTCCTTTGCTACTGTATATTTCCAGTCTGAATTAGACCATGGCAGGCTCCTACAGGAGAGCTCTTTTATGGATTATGTATTAATAGAAAAGCAACTAATTTAGCTCTGTTCCTAAATGCTAAAGCTGTTGCACATAAAAAACAGAGGAACTCTGATCAACTATCGCAGCCACCATTTTGACAGCTTTGCTGTACGGTTGTCTGTGGACGCCCCCAATAAATGCAAGCACGGGATAAACTAAGCCTGTTTGTTCTCGGTCTTTTAAGTGGCCACAGACTACTAGCAAATGTGGCATTTGATCACAAGGCAAGGAGGCATCGAGAAATGTTTACCCTTTTGCATTTGAGCATTCAAGAAGGGACAGGAAAGGAGAAAGGGAAAGAGGAAAGACAAACAAAAAGGAAAAGAGGGGAAGGAAGAAGAAGGAAAGGATAATGAAGAGGGAAGGAAAAAGAAGAAAAGGGGGGAAGGAAGGAAGGAAGGAAGGAAGGAAGGAAGGAAGGAAGGAAGGAAGGAAGGAAGGAAGGAAGGAAGGAAGGAAAGAAATTATAATGAGAGGGAGGAAGGGTCTGAGGGAAGTCCTGCCTTAGACTTAGCCACGAGTAGTCCTGCTACCCTTTCGCCATCCCCTTGTCCCCTCTTCCTGACCTCTCCTGGTGGTCTCCCATCCTATCACTGAGGATGCTCTGGTTATAAAGCTGGGTCTCCTCGCAGGGAGAGAGAGTGGGCCTCCCGCTGACCCACATATTTTGCCCTCCCACACACACCATGAGCAACTTGGTCAAGGAGAGCGAGCCAATCAGCAGCAGCCTTGAGGAAGAGGTAAGCATAGCCAGGTGCCCCCTTGGGAAAGGCTGGACTGGGCGCTTGCCCTCCACTGCCCAGGGCTCCAGGCAGCCTGCATCACTGGGGGTCCTCTGGATGGCCTGAGAGGGACAGCAAGGCTCCTCTGGTGGACAAAGGTATAGTGCTCGCCCTGGTCTCACCTTCCTCGGCTGGAGACAATGGATTCCCCCCCAGCTCCATCCCGGCCACCATAGACGCCCCCCAATACGAGCGACGTTGAGCTGGCCACGTCCACCCCAGCCACGCCCACCCTGGCTCCCCAATGTCAACCACAACTCTGATGCGGCCCTCAATGAAATCGAGTTTGACACCCCTGCTCTGAATTTTTTGAATAATTCTTTCGTGTGATACCCATTCAATGAAATTGCAATTGTTTACATCAGTGTTTCTCAACCTTGACAATTTTAAGGTATGTGGACTTCAACTCCCAGAATTCCACAGCCAGCAAGGTTGGCTGTGGAATTCTGGGAGTTGAAGTCCACATGCCTTAAAATTGTCAAGGTTGAGAAACACTGGTTTACATAAATCCACTGATTTAGAGTTTTAGAGGGAAAAGGATTGTAGTTTAGCAAACACTTCCTATGTAATAAAGCAATCATACCTGAAGCTTGTAGTGCATCCAGAAAACCACGGAACCATCCATCCACGTTGAGCTGTAGAACGGAGTGAAGAAAAAGTTCTGCTGCCTTGGTTGGCCGGTTGCTTTCCTCTTGAATTAGCTCCACAGTCTCTAGAATTGTAGACAAAACTGTTGCAGTAAATTTCTCGCCTTAAGGTTCAAAGCAAAACAACAGACTTTGAAAGTATTGCACCTTTCCCATTTTAGCTTCCCAAGGGCCCATGATTCTGTTTGCAACATACCCAAAGGCAATAATTCATTCTGATGCTATTTAGAAAATGTTTCTGTGTGTGTCTGCTTGCTTATTGAAAACACATTACACGTAGTTCTCACTTACCGACCGCCTCCCACAGCATCCATTGAAAGTTACAACAATACAGTCAATATTCATTGTCCTCGACCTAGTATGTTGTTTTTCTTTTCTTTCCCCATCCTGCTTGCAGAGTAGAGAATTGGAAAGGAAGTGATTACAAGAGAGTAAGCAGGCACATAATGGGGAATACATATCAAAAGCAACGTGCTGGCTTTGGCAGCCATTAGCACACTATGCAAACAACCAGTATATTCTCCACTGGGTGTTTGCTTATTCTTTTGTAATCCCTTCTTCTCCAATCTCTCCAGTTTATGAGGGAAGCAAAACAATTTCTGTAAGCAATCTCTCCTGGGTCTGACTTGTTTCCCTTTTGCATGTCTTCCCACTCCCTGGCAGCAGTCACCCTTGTCCGGCTGCACTCCTGAAGAGCCAGTTTAAGCATTATCTCCTCAGCAGTGAGAAGAAGACAACAGCAAAGGTCAGCTAGGGATGGCAAGGACAGTGAAGAGCAGAGATGGGTGGGAATAGGTGAGTGGTTAATGTTGAAGCACATCCTGTAGTCAATGTGGGCAGGTTGCCAAGTTTTAAATTTTGACCACTTGAACGCAGGAATACTGCAACCCATAACTTCAAAGACCAGACATTAAATAAGATTTGTTCAGCATCATCATAACTTTGGATATTCATGGAATGAATGGCCGTGAAGCGAAAACTATCTGTAAAATTTTCTGTATCTCTTTATATCTAGGTACTGGACATCTGGTGTTTTGCAGTCTGGCTGTGTTAGACCGCGGAAGACTAATATTTGACCAACACAAGGATCTCTTCACCTTCTCCATCACACTCTCTTAGTTGTTATCAATGGATGAGGTTTTACAACCAACTACAAAGCACATTTGCCCACATGACCAACTGAGTATGCTTGATCTTCTGTATAAGACTAAGCTTTTAAGATGACTTGAATCACATGCCTGGCAAATGCATTACTCTACCAAACCTTTGGAAGAAATTGCTGAAATATATAATTAAATTAATCAGATACAGTGATAAATCTATTCTGCGTTCTTGTTGATTCTAGTATTTTAAGTCTTCATCAACATAACCAATATTATGTAATTGTCAAGGTTGACTCTGGACCAATGAAATCTCTCAGCCTAGCCTATTTCATGAGGTTATTATGAGGAAAAAAATGGAAGAATTCTATGTCCATACAGCTTTGTTTTCCTGGAGGATAGACTGGATGAAATAAACTAAAAATTCTTGCATGCACAGACTAGGATGGGCATTCATGAAGTGAAACTGGGATTAGGTGCACTTGTGATGGGAGATGGGAGGCAGTATCTATGAGAAATGAGGAGGTGATAAGCCGCCTGGGAAAGCCAAGGGAAATCATCAAAACAATTAAAAAACAAAAGTCAGAATATTTCAGACATGTGATGCCGCATACTCCATTTAATCCTCCAGGGAAAGATTGAAGGCAAAGGAGATCCAGGCAGAAGAACATCATGACTTCGAAATCTAAGGGACTGTTTGGACAAAACTCAGCAACATTTTTTCGTGTGGCTGATAAAAACAGGATCACCAACATGATCGCCAACATCCGATAATGGATATGGCACAAGAAGAAGAAAAATCTATGGGATCATCTGATAATGTCTATGGCATGAAGATGACTGAGACTTGAGAGGTGGAAATGGGAGAGGGGGAGAGGAGAGGAGAGGAAGAAATTAACAATGTTTTCAAACAGTACTTTGACACAAAGGGTATGTCATTAAACAATTATATTAAATAAAAAAAAACTTTACAGTGAAACTGAATCACTTTTCACTTTTGGTTGTTTTTGAACATCAATCCCTTGAACCTAACCATTTGAATTCTGAATGAAATATGGACTGTATTTAAAAGTGAGTTAAGCGTTAAGGGGGGGAAAGTATAGAGAGAATGAATATGATTACAAATAAATATATGAAGAGCAAATATGACAAGAGGAAACCTGAGAACATCAGAGTTAGATGGAAATGAGGGAACCCTCATGCAGAGATAACTTATTAAAGATAGTTTACATGATTAGAAAATTATGGAGAGATACTCTGTTTCGGAGCTTTTTATCAAGATTGTGTACTCTGAAACACCAGGACTTCACGTATGAAATAATAATAATAATAATATAATAATAACAGTAAAGTTGGAAGGGATCTTGCAGGTCATCTAGTCCAACCCCCTGCTCAGGCAGGAAACCCTATACCATTTCAGACAAATGGCTGTCCAGTCTCTTCTTAAAAACTTCCAGTGTTGATGTATCAATCTCTTTCCTTGTTTCAAAGAATGAAATCTACTTTGGATTTCCAGACAGCCATTGCTTATTTCACTTCAAGTAGAAGACGAAAAATTCTGCAATTTTCAGAAGAGGGAGAAAAACTGTAAGAAGCAGGACACGAGCGCCCCTTGAGGGTTTTAGTGCCATCTGCTGGCAGGATTTTTGCCCCGCCTCCTCAACTGCTTTCAGCCAATAGTGCCCTGCTTCCCTCTCCCGTTTATCAAGATAATTCCGAAAAACAGCAGACTGGGTGCGGAGCGGAACGCTTCCCCCGCTACCCCAATCATCTCGATGCAGCCAATCAAACCTCTTGCCATGCGCGCAGGGGTTGCCTAGGAAACCCAATCAGGAACGCCTTGTAAGTGTACAGCAAAGGCGCATCTGCCAACTCGAAAGTACTGTGTGCAAAACCGCCGCAAAACGCGTGAAAGAAAGAACGTCCGAACCCGCTTAGCCTGACTTCTCTGTGCAAAAACTAACGTAAGAACGGTGGGCGAAATAGTTCGTGTAGATGCCTCTCGGGTTCTTCGCTGAACGTTAGCTACGCAGAAACATTTTTTTCTTTCAACATCTTTCTGTCCAACCATCACCCACCTCCTCTGCAAAATCATAGCCAATGCCTCCCGGGGGGCTCAACTGAAATCAATACGTAGATCTGTGCTTTTAAATTATGCCGCTTTAATTAGCGTCGAGCGCGTGTGAAGAAAGGCGCACACAGTATATAAAAAAGCGGTAGGATTCCTTAAAAGCATGTCTTCAGCTGGAGTTTTTAATTTCTTCATCCCGTTTCTAAACATCACTAGGAAATTTCGGGTTGGTGTAAGATCCCCATGTTAATTGCGGGCAGGTGATTTAATTCTTAAGTCAACCAATTAATTGACACGCCTGGTCATAACATAATTCACGGGGGGGGGGGGGAGAAACACTTTTAAGCTAATTTGCTTTTTATTTGGGTATCTCTTTCTCCATTCCAAAAATCTGACCCGAATATTCTTCAAAATATCTGGAGAACGCCAGATCGCGCATTCATTCTAACGTTAACAGTGGCTATGAGTATTCTGAATTAGATGTCGCTTAATGTTTACACTTCAAAAGTGTAAACAAAATGCATCTGGGTAAACCAGCTCCCCTGTCTGATGCCCTCCCAATGTTGCATTACAATTCCCATCGGGCCAGCCAGCATGCCCAATGGTCAGAGTAACTGGGTGATGTATTCCTACATGCTCGATGGTCAGGGTATCTGGGTTATGTATTCCTACATTTCTAAATGGCGTCCAGTTGGGTACATCAAAACATGACTGTGATAAAAAAAAAAAAAAAAAAACTTAGGTGATTCCTACTTACCATCGGACAGCCAGGTTTTCATGTAGCTCAATACATAAGCAGGATTTAAAGTCTTCACTATATATTCCTTGCAGCGAAGCAAATTCTCTCGTTCGACCTCCGTCATTTTTCTCCTTTCTCCTTAAACCTCCGGCGTTGCAATAGTTGGGTTTTTTTTCTTTCTCTCTTGTGTTCCGTTTTTCTTCCAACTCTGCCCCACAAAAAAATCCCCACAAAGAAATCAAAAATCCGTCCGCAAGATCGCTTGTTCGCAGTTCTAAAACTAACAGTGGGGGGAAGCAGCTTAAAAAGCAGCCTGCAGAGGACGGGCTAAGCCGTCCAATGAAACTCCTCCGCTTCAAGACCCACTCGATTCCTCAGAATCAGCCGCCCAGAAGCAAGAATCGAAAGTGAAGGAAGTTTCCCCAAAGGAGGAAACGCGACTGGAGAACCGTAGGAAACCGAAAATAGTTCGCGGGGAAGGCGGGGCATCGTTGAGCAGGGAAACGAAACGCTGCCTTTTGTGTTTTCCTATTTGGACTGGTCTCCGAAGTGGGTAGCGGCGGGTTTAGGCAGACGGGGCCGAATTTAGAAAGAAACTTGGCAGCTGCCATCCCAAAACAGAGACAATGGCGTGGGGGGAACCGGAAGTTTTTAAGAAGAGACTGAACAGCCATTCGTCTGAAATGGTATAGGTTTCCTGCCTGAGCAGGGGGTTGGACTAGATGACCTCTTAGATACCTTCCAACTTTTATTATTATTATTATTATTATTATTATTATTATTATTATTATTATTATTATTATTATTATTATTATTATTATTATTATAATATAAGACATGGTTATTCCAGCTTGCGGGACTGGCCTAGGGGAAATTTTTAGAGGGGGTTTTAATTATAATTTTAATTAGACCAATTATTAATATTTGCCTTTTAATTAACTTTTAAATTTGTAGTCTGATATTTGTATTTTTTATCTGGTTGTTAGCCGCCCTGAGTCCGCAAGGAGAAGGGCGGGATATAAATTTTCAAAATAAATAAATAAATAAATATACACCTCTCCCCTCCCAAAGACTGAAAAGGGGAGGGGGAGGGAAGAAGGGGCGGGGGGAGGGCTACACACAGGATAGCTACATACAGGGTGGCCCAGAATTACCATTCACCACAATTCTTATTATTTTCTCTTGCACATTACATAATAAACATTGTATTTGTTTGTTTTTATTTAGACCGGCTTGGCTGCCAAATTTTGATTGCCTATTTATCTTCATCTGCTGAGGGGGTAGCCCTGTACATTTTCAGCTTCATCCCTCCCTAGGATTGCAAATCCTGATCCCATGGGGGCAGATCAGAAAGTACCTCTGGTGGTTAGTGAGGAGCCAGATTATTTGAAGGACCATTTCGATCTGTATCAAATGTGCCCAAGCCTTCATATTAGCCAAGTAAATTTACGGGTGCATCATCAGAAGACAGAATCAAGGTGAAGATTTCCAAAGACAGATGGCCATTCCTTTTGCAACTAGAGCCATTTTGGTCTGGTGATTAAAACACCAGGCTAGAAAGTGGGAGACTGAATTCTAATCCTGCCTCAGCCATGAAAGCCAGCTGGATAACTGTGGGTCAGTCACTCTCAGCCCAATTCACCTCACAGGATTGTTGTGGGGAAAATAGGACAGGATATTAGATATGTTTACTGCTTTGAGTTGTTTATAAAAATAATAATAAAGGCTGTATATAAATAAACTCCTGTTTCAAGTAATGTGTGGCTCCACTCCAGGGCCAGTGAAGGAACCATCCAACCATCCCATTGGTTTAGCATACAGCCCATTCTTACCAGAAATCAGTCTGAACTTGTTTTATCCCATCCTGACCCATCTAGCTTGCAGACTTCAAATAAGGATCTCCATAATATCATTAGTTCAGTTCTAGATGGATAGCTGAAAATCATCAAGGTATAATCAGTTGTGATCGTTGGAATATTTTCCTTATGTGTTTACACTAAGTTAAGGATTGATAAAAGATTGTAGAGGTAGCAGCGATTCCATTTTAAAAAAAGGAGAAGGCTGGCTCCTGCCATTAGAAATAAATGACTATCTAATGTAGCAAAACCTATGTAAAGAAAAACACATAGCTTATGTATCAGAAGACAAATATGTACCTAGAAAGAACAAAATATTTATATTGTAGCTAACCATATATAAGGAAACTTCTATTTTAGCAGGATATGAAAGGAAGGATTGCACAGGAGAAAGATGTTCATGCTGATAAAGCATGAACCATTGTAGTAAGCTAACATTCCTTTCTATTAATTACTAGCTGTACCCAGCCACGCGTTGCTGTGGCTCAGTCTGGTAAAAGCGTGTGTTGCTTTTACGTCCAACAGATGGCGCTGTTTTTCAAAAAAAGCATGTTTTTACCTGTCACAGGTGTGACATCTACATAATATAGGTATATATTCGAATGCAACGTTGTGTCAAAATTTCAAAGCAATCGGTGAAGAACTTTCGGAGATTTAACATTTTGAACAAACGAATATTTACATTTTTATTTATATAGATTTTAAATCTTTACACTAAAACCTATAAGAAAGGAAACAGGAGCAATCCATCGTGGCCACTCCCAATGTTATTTGACAACCTTCGGTTAAGTATATATTTTCTATCATCTCCATTGCTATATTGGATTTCTGGGCACGAGCTGCAGGAAAAGGTATCTGATGTTTCTGATGGACCATAGGATTATTGCAGTTAAGAACTACATAGCCTAGATAAGCTATAGATGCTGCAAAAGTCGTAAATACCACTGCATATTCCTTTTGTTTACTGAAAATTCTCTTCCTTGGCATTGAAAATTTGTTTGAGAAAAAGAACACATACTTAGTTATCCAAACTGAGTGCACTGGCATAAAACAAAACCGTAGGAAGATTTTGCAGATGACAATATTCCCTGTTCTGTATTGTCATTTCCATGTCCGTCTCAATTCTTTCTCCAAAGAAAACAATTTTCTATGTCTGATAGACAGACGGACAGATGATAGCCATTGAACTGGCACACCTCTATTTTTTTTTCTGACATTAGAGGTCATGGAGAAAATGCAGGGGATTTTCCAGTAGACTTCCTCTTTTTTAAAGACTGGAGCTTCCTGTTCTCAGAAGGGGAAATATTTTTTGTCCCAGGGATCACAACCCATCCTTTAATAACCAATATGCATTCCTTCAAATCAGTTATTTCTCACAGAACATGGTGGCTCAGGTGGTTAGGATGCTGGGTTGGAGGTTAGCAAACCCGCATTCAAGACTCAAGTATTGCTACATCATGGGGGTGAGCTCCTGTCATTCGCTCCAGCTCCTTGACAGGGACATGAAAAGACCCTCACAGGCATGCCGCAGGCAAGTGTTGTCACTAGCTAATTATTTTAATCTGGAAGTACTTAAACAGTGCCTCTGGCACAAATGGGACAGGAGTATTTCTCAACCTCAGCAGCTTTAAGACTTCAATTCCCAGAATTCCCCAGCCAGGATTGGGGGAACAGATCTTAAAAGTCAGAGATTGAGAAACACTTTTAAAGTCCAGTGGAGTTGACCTCCAGGTAATACTTGCATTCCTAGTAGTTACCTGGGCTGTGAAGGTATAAGAAATTGCTCGAAGGCAAAACATATTTACATGGTGTTTATTTTTGTTCAGCAATGGGGCAAATCTGAAGATATCAATGAATTTAATGGATTTCTATTTTTTATTTGCAATTTCAATTTTTTTATCTACCCACTTGCAAATGACTTGAGGGTGAGCTTAACAAAAGCTAAAAATAATAGTAAGAACCAATTAAAACAAGAATAGAAACTGTTGTGTTGGAGAAAGGGGAATTGCAACAATTGAATACTTGATTATTTAAAAAAAGATTCAAACTGAGCAGTTGATTTACAAAACAAAATCACTCTTGAAGACTCTCTTAAAAGTAGGCAAGTTGGGACTATTTAGACTGTTGGAGGATATGAGGAGGAAAAGGAGAGAAATGATGGTATATAAATTGAATGATCGTTCATTGCCTAATTACAGTACTTAATCTGAATAAGCAGAATTAATCAATTCTCAGGCTGAATCTGTATCTCCTTCTGTTTGAACTGCTTCCATCTATGCTCCATAATCAAAGACTAGCATCCATATTTATTAACACAAACTCCTAATATTAAACAATCCAGATGAAAACCTGAGTTTTAAAATTCCTTATCAAACTTTGATTTGAAAGCTTTTGCTAGCCTAATTCAGCAATTCCCCCAGATTCTAATTTTTAACAATGATTAAATCATCATTAAAGCTTTTGAAGATTGCCACATAAGCTAAGGATGAAAAATAGCATCCATGGGCATGTTCCCTTCAAGAGGCCTTTAGCATAAAAAAAAAAAACCCCAATGAATCCCAGTTTAATCTACTTGTTATAATTTAGTAGGAATAAGTCATATGAAGTTTTTAATTGAAGGACCTACATAGTAAAACACTAATCCAATAAAGGCCAACCATTCCCTTCTGATGACAATACTTCCATCTGGATAAATGATAATGTATCACTTCTTAACCCAAATTAGAAATATTGACCTATTGACAATTATTTGTTCATACATTACTTTTAAAAGATCAGTTCTGGGTTTAGCTTTTAAATTAAGCATATAACAAAAACTGAACCAAATCTGATTAAGGCAAGTTTTTTTAAAAAAAAAAAATATTTTGGGAAGATTTTTATCATGATACGGGATTGATCTACACCGTCATTGTTTCATAAACAGATAGACAGAGAGTGAAGCCCATATCTTTCTAGCATTGAAGATGTTACCTAGTCAGGTAATAAAACAATTGAAAAACCAAACTCAGAAAGCACAAAGGACTCCAGGGTCACAGTTTATTTATTTAATAAAATTTATTTCATAAAACAAGTTACTCTTTTTGCCTTTAAGTTAAAAACAATAGTAAATAATTAATAAAAACATTAAAAGCTAAAAAAAATCTACATCTACGGCCTAACCTATCCTAAGATGAAAAATCTTATTTTTTAAAAAAAAAGTTTAAAAAATTACACATCCTGCTCTGGTGAATGTAGCTGGCAGTGTGAATTGCCATTTATCATTTGTGCCAGACGTAAAAACAAAGATGATCTCTTAGTTGGCAACTGGTTGAAAAATTCAGGGTCTTTAATGCCATTCTCTCTATCACTATCACTGTCAATTGTAATTACAACAGAAGATAGTGGAGAGGAATTGATAGGATTGGTAGACTTAATTCTTTTTGTTTTCTTTTTGTCGTATCTTGATGTACACACACCTTCGTAAATAATTTCAACACTTGGGCTTCTTGACCGCTTCTTCTTCTTCTTGTGTCGAGTCTCTGTTTGAGGTTGCCTGTCTGCAACACTAATCACTTTTCCACAAATGGTCTGGTCCTTTGGTAAGGATTTCTTTAGAGAATTGCTTTCTCTTACAGAAGAGGTTTCCTCACTACCCCTCTGGGTGCTCTCCAAGTGACGTGTCTTGTATTTCCTTTTCCCACCTGGCTTTTCAGAACGGCCTCCATCAGGATGCCTGGAAGTTCTGGATCTGCTGCTGGATCGACTTCTGGATCTGCTGCTGGATCGGCTTCTGGATCTGCTGCTAAATCGGCTTCTTGACCGGTTTCTTGATCGAAGTCTTTCATAACCTCTGATAGCATTTGGACTGTATAAAGCATATTCACCTCTTTTTCTGTTTTTTTGGTAATCGTCTCTCAAATAATAATCAGTGTCTTTACTCCTGGAAATTCCACTATACTCTCTGCTTCGAGATCGTGACCCACTTAAATCTCTAGATTCAGTGCTTCCACTACTTGGAGAAAGAGAACGGGATGTACTCTTTTCTCGGGTTGATCTCTTTTTATTCTTTTTGTGCTTATGTCTACTGCCATCTCTCTTCTTTTTTCGTTTTTCCCTGCTGCGATGCTTCCTCTTCCTTTTCGAACTGTGATGCTCTCTGTCAGAGTGCTGCATATGCGACTCAGATTTCCTTCTTTTCGATGCATTATATCCATAAGAGGCTTCCTTTGAAGAAAAGCTTTGTAATGAAGACACTTCTCTTAATTTATTTTCATCTTTTTCACTCCTCTTAGATTTCCTTTTTTCATCGGAGAGACAGTCATTAATCTTAACACTGGCAGTATCATCTTTGGACCCGGCAGATGATGGTGATGCAGACCTACTACCATCACTATCGCTAAAACTGCGCAATTGGGTAGGCTGCACTTTATTCACGTCTTCTTTTTTCCCATCATCTGCTGAAATGTCAGAATCTGAGGACAGCTGAACAAGCTCAGGTGTTCTCTCAGCCAGGGGCTTGACATAGTCAACAATAACACAGTTGTCTGAAGAATCACAGCTGTCGCCATTCACCTCTATATTTGCTTGTTCTGACCCCTGCAACTCAGTTATATTCACAGAAGGGTCATCATCAGAGCTTTCAGAACTGTCTGGAGCAGTGGATGCAGAAGCCTGAATCTGCTCTAAGTTGGAATACGACGGGCCAGGCGTTTCGTCATCCCAGGGTGCCTGGCCCGTGTCACTTCTGAAAGCGTTCACTTCTGGTGCCTGGGTTTCCGTCTCATCAGGAGAGATGGTAATAATGGAAGACTCAGAGTTGCTTCCGTCTTCACGTGATGGAGCCGGACAGTCATAATTTGCATGTTCATCATATGCGTCTATGTTAAAAGGGCATCGAGCAAAGCTGACAAATTCGTGTAAGAAGTGTTCTGTGCTTTGGAGCAAAAATGGCTGTAATTCGTTAGAAAATGCTTCGCTTTCTAAATCAAACTTGGTCAAATTATTCATTATTATATGTTGTACGATATTAATTAGGGATCCATGAATGCCAAAAAGAACGGTAAGTTCACGTTTTAACCATGGAACCAGCCTATGAAGGCAGGCAGGATTCCTGCGAAAAAATTCAGCCGATATGTCCCGATAACGTCCTCCATCTTCAATACTTCTTACACGTGTGCCAGAACGATACAGACCTTTTCGAAAGCTAATCATCTCTTGCTCTTGAATGTGTCGCATAAATCTACCCTCCAAACTAGCTTGTCGCCTTGATGCAAGCCGTCTGATCATCTGATGCATTTCTGCATCTCTCTGCCTTGTTGTCTGAGTTGATAACCCTTCGAACAAGATCCCACAATTTGGGGAAGACATTGTCCTTCGAGAGGAGGAAGTCCTTTGGGGATTAACACGTGCAGGATGTTCTCCTGTTAAGGTGGTCGGGTAACGGAATCGCCTCCCATTAGGATTAGCAAAAGCTTCCATTTCTGAAGGCCTAACAGAATGCACCTTGTAGTCGTCTGCAGATCGCATGCTGTGCACGATGGAACGAAAGGGCTGTTTACAAAGTGGGCATTCTGCTTTGTTTTTGGACCACTCCAACACACACCGGAAGCAGAATCTGTGCCAACAACGATCCAAATAAGCCACATTTTCAAACAAGTCCAGGCAGATTGGGCACTTAGAATCTGGAGATATTTCCTCTGGCATTGTCTGATGCAGCCTGTTTTTGCCAGGTATGAGTGAATTATCCTTTGGGAAAAAATTTGCCAGGGGTATCAAGCTCTGAAAATGGAAAAGAAATACAATAATCAGTGTAAACTTGGCATGTTAGTTTGTACTGAAAATTACAACGTAAAGATCACCAATTTATCAGATTAAATCTGTTTCCTAAAGGGAAATTACTTCTTTCCTCATGCAGATACATTCTCCATGCCTTACATCAGATGGCCCCACTCGTGTTATTTAGAAAAACCACGAAGACCTTTTGTTCACCCTTCTTATGTTTTACTGACTTTACTGAAATTTGTGTGACCCCTGTAAGCTGCTCCAAAGTCTTTGAGCTTTGGGCTAAGGTACAAGTTCAGTAAACGATCATTATCAAACAATTCTACCACTGCCCCAGGGACAAGGCAACTACTATTTTTCGACGGAGAAGCTACGGAAATGTTTACAAGTAACAGCAAGTTTACAAGTAACCCCAAGTTTACAACAGCAAATGCGAAATCCGGGAAAGGACATGGCCGTCTGCGTTTAAACTCTCGAAAAGCAGGTACTGTATAACAAAAAAAACTAACAACTTTCCCGAATCCTCGGGAGTCAGAAGATGATCGATTTGATGATATCCATTATGCGATATCTAAAAGAGCCGTTGGCCGGGCAAGCCTCGAAGCAACAGTGCCTCCGAGATGATTCAAACGGCCGCTTCTTCGCTTGGACGGAGACCAACTGAAGATCCGGAGAGGCGGCGAAGCTATTTGGCCATCCCGGCAGCCAATCAGCGACCGCCAAAAGGACCCAGAGTTCGATTTCCCATTATCTACGGAGGAGGGCGGGGAGGGGAACCGAACGCTCCGTGGCTGAGACCGTTAAAACGAGTACCGGGGGCAAGAAGAGCCTCATAGGCAGGAGCAGAGGCGGAGGAACCCCGCTCGGCTCTCTCCCCTCCTCGGGAAAACTAATGGGCAAAAGTGCCCGGAAGATCCGGAGTTTTGCCGGGCGCTCTCCTCCCAAAGAACCCACTTACTTACCGATTTAGACCGTTGGTGCCAGCGGCGGCTGCGGCCACTGGCGCCGGCGGCTCGGCTACGTCGCTCTCGGGGGTCACACATGGACGGTGGCACAACCGAAGACAGCTGAAGAGAAGGCTGCTTGCTGCTTTGGGTTGCAGCTCTAGCCTTTCCAAACCGGATGCGCAACCCCAAGTGGCAGGCAGCGGGAGGAGTTAACTTCCGGGTTAGAAGGGAAATGGGGTAATTTAAAAAAAAACAACAACACACAGCATGGTTGGGCTTTATTATTTTTTTTACCTTTTCCCAATGTCAGCCCAAAGCTTGGTGACGTCACGCTTTCTTCCCTTAATAATAAATAAACAGTTAAATCCATACTTTGTTGGGCTAAATCTTACGCGGCTCCACGACTTCAACTCCCATAAACCTCAGCGATCACGACGGTATCCCCAAAGCATCCCGGGAGTTAGAGTTCAAAAGTTTGTTGCTCTTGTAACGTGCAGAGCGGGTGCACCGGCAGGTCCACCTTCTCCGCAGTCAAAAGAGGAGGAAAAAGCCACATCTCCAATCTTTTTTTAACCCGTCACGATTGTCAATTTGTCAGTCGATGCGGACACCCGAGGAGAGAGCAAGGCTCTTGTCTGCACTGTCTTAACACATATTTACTCATGAGTAAAAACTCGGTTCAACGTTGGAATTCAAAGTACAGAAGTTACCGCTGTCCGATTTACGCTTCCTATTTATTTATTTATTTATTTATTTATTATGAAATTTATATCCGATTCTCAGCAACTGGGCGGTTTACCAAATGTTAAAAATACATCTAAACCAGAAAAGATCATAAAAGAAAACAAAAAAAAAGAAGGAAAGGTGGGAATGATACCCAACCAGGTGGGAACTGAGAGAAGAGGTTCTTCTCTGTGATGAAACTTGGACATTTCTGTTGCTTTCTGTTTTTCCTAAGGGAGATGCTTTGGGGGAGGATTGTGGGAGCGGGGATGGGTAGAAACCCCACTGAGAACGGCAAAGACGTATTTGGAAGAGGCTCGCCCCACATTTATCTCAGGCTAGCAGATTTCCACCTTTGTAACGTAGCGGTAGCCACTACATACCTATTCTACACACACAAGTAAATTGCGGAGGATCCGGCTTGCTTAAAAACCTTGATGTGTTCCTGGCAAGATGGGGGATTAAATCGGGAGGAAGGAATCAAAGCAAGGAAGAGCGACATATTTTTGCCGGAGACCGACGGCGAACATTTGTCCCTGCAGTTGCGAGGGATCGAAGAGACCTCGCCTCCATCTGGTTCAGTGTTTCTCAACCTTGACAATTTTAAGGCATGTGGACCTCAACTCCCAGAATTCCACAGCCAGCATTGCTGGCTGTGGACTTCTGGGAGTTGAAGTCCACATGCCTTAAAATTGTCAAGGTTGAGAAACACTGATCTAGTTTCAGGGGAACACCTGGAAATCTCCCCGAAGGGTAGGGAAAGAGGAGGGGGGGGGCGGCGGCTTCGGCTCCCTTTTGACTCTCCCGCCTTCCGTTTCTTGCCGGTCCGCGAACATCACTTCCTGAGGCTTCGTGAGCGAGGGGAGGGCCGGGCGCCAACAGGAGAAGCAGGGGGGTGGAATGGCGCCGCTAAGCCGCCGGTCTCTGGAATGGCTCTACTCGCTGGTAAGGCGCTGCTGCTTTCTTAGTTTCCCCCCCCCCCCCACTCCATTATAGATATCTCCCTACAAAGAAATCCTGGGAGGCCGATTTACGGGCTCAATCCCGCCTCCGCTGCTCAAAAGCAAGGAGAGGTGCGGGATCTCTCTTTCTCTCCCCCTTCCCCCTCTCTCTTTCCCTCCCTCCAGAATGTAGACACTTTTAATAAAAGGATCCACCCATGCAAGAGACCCTGTGTCGGGTGGTTTTGTTGCCTCAAATTTTACTAGCATTATCATTAGCATTTTAAAAGGCAATATTAGTATTATTATTTTTTTTCTTTCAAATTTTTATTAATTTTCAAACAAACAAATTCTAAATACAAATATGGTGTACGTTAATAAAAAAAAACATATTAAACATAATCATAAAAGAATATTTTCAGAGGTGCTCGGCAGCCCCCCCACCCCTGCATCCGCCCTCTCTTTCACCCTTCTTACCTACTTCCCTCCTCCTCTCCTCCCCTCCTACTACACCTCTCTCCTCTTTCTTCCTCTCTTTCAACTACCCTACACATCCCACCTCCTTCCTTTCCTCATCCTTCGGATGCAGTTTGGGGGTGCTAGTCGAGCACCTCCTCGTTAAAAAAAATACATTATTCTATAACATATTAATACACCAAATTTTACATATCTCTACCCCCCTCTTCCCCCCCCCCCCCGACTTCCCAGAACTGAGTACAGGGATAAGCACAAATCATCACATATCTAAATAATACTACCCAAACATAATACAATCAAATATTAACATACTTTAACTCTATTATACAATAATAAACATAAATATAAAAAATGTATATAACATATAAATTATGATACATAAATAAGAATAATAAAAAATCTAATCAAAAGCTATATAATAATTATTCGTTTCATACTTTCTCTAAATATAATCTATCCATCTTCTCCAAACCAAAATAAATTTTTCTTGAGTTTGATCTTTCAAATATGCGGAAATCTTGGCCATTTCTGCAAAATACGACACCTTCAGTCTCCATTCATCCATAGTAGGTAGTACATCCTTCTTCCAATTTTGAGCAACCAGTAATCTTGCTGCTGTTATACAATACAACATCAGATTCATTTCTTTAAA